GGCCCCATATAACGGTTCCGCCTAATATTCCATATTTTGGGGGGTTTGCGAACGATTTTTTAACGAATTAGTTGTAATTTCGTAAATTAGGTTCTCATAGGATAGCAAATTACCATACCAAAAATTATCGATATCGCTGCACTTTTTAGGATAGTCTCCATATAGAGGATATCCTGCAGTATTCAATATTTTGGGGATATTGGGTAGATTTTTCAAACGAATTTGCTGTAATTTGATATTTAGGGCTCCCATTGGGAAGCAAAAACAAAAATTATCGATATCGGTTCATTTTTTAGAGTAGGCCAATGTAACGGTTCCGCCTAATATTCAATATTTTGGGGGGTTTGCGAACGATTTTTTAACGAATTAGTTGTAATTTCGTAAATTAGGTTCTCATTGGGTAGCAAATCACCATACCAAAAATTATCGATATCGGTTGACTTTTTAGTATAGTCTCCCTATATAGGGTACCCTGCAGTATTCAATATTTTGGGGATATTGGAGACATTTTTTTCAAACGAATTTGTAGTAATTTGATATTTAGGGCTTAAATGTCCTCCCTACCAAAAATTATAAAACTCGGCCTACTTTTTAGGGTAGCTCCCATATAAGGGTACCTTCCACCATTCGATATTTTGTGGACGTTTGGGTACGTACGTCCAACCGAATTGGCTGTAATTTGGTATTTTGTGTGCAAGTTTTTTTGAAGAAAATGTCTCCTGGTTAGAACACATTTTTATTATAGAAAAATATTCGTACTTTTAGAATTAATATCTCTGGATACATTTATATGGCTTCAGAACACATTTTTCCTCCAGAATTCGTGTGGCTCCCGAAGACCTTTTTATACCCTTCAGCAGGGATGCAAAATGAAATTATTCAATTTGTACTGGCTTTCAATAAAAAGTGTACTTTTTTCAGTCCGATTGTACTTTTTATATATTTTTTAATAAAATTTTTGTTATTATTAACAATTAATAAAAACATACATAAACAAAATTAATTAAGATTTAAAGCAGTCGATATATGTATTCTGTTCCTTTCTTTGGTTTTAATTATATTTTGATATGAAAATACCCTTTCCACATTTGAATGTGGATGAATGTGGAATATATAATTACCCTCTAAGAATTTGTGATATATAAGGAAACATATCTTCGTTTCGTTAATTTTTGACTTCCGTCACCATTGACCAATAAGTGCATATATTGTCGTTTTTGAAAGATTTAAAAATTTCTACATGCATTCTGGCATCCTCAGACTGCATTTCTAATGTGATATTATTTATAATATTTGTACTTATTGCAAGAACAATAATAACAGTAACCAGTAAGGAAGTTTCAAAAGTCGGACGATACCCTTCGCCACTTTGGGTACATACAAGAGATGCTAAAATATAGATATTTGTACATATTAAAAAACGTACACATACCATTCTGAAATCAATGAAAAATTGCAGATCAAAAATGGCATGGCAGACTTGAATTCTTTGGTGTCTTTTGTTTTTAAACCGTTGCATACACCATTTGGTTTTTGCAACTTTAAGGGGACCCCCATTCTCGGTTTCAAAAAATTTAGTTTTGTATTTTGATTTAATTCGAACCTACACTAATTCAAGAATGTCCCTATAAATTTCCAAGTGAAAATCTCAAAAATTTTTTAAGATATAGCAGATTTATTGTGTTAGCATCAAGTGACGGCAAGAGGGCTTCTCAAACGTTAAACGCGTTTTTCTCCAAACAGAGTTTTTAATACGCATGGCTCAAAACTCAATTTAATACAATCTGCCAATAAATAAGTCAATAAAACTCGGCACACATCAGTCTAGACCTAATCCAGTACTCTGTGCAATTTGTTTTCTCAATCGGACAAATATTGGGATTTTGGTACACCATTCACATAAAATCAGACGAAACTATATATGGGAGCTATATCTAATTCTGAACCGATTTCAATAAAACTTGGCGTGTTTCAGTCTAGACGTAATTCAGTACTCCGTGCAAAATGTTGTCTCAATCGGAAAAATATTGGGAGTTTGGTGCACCATTTACATAAAATCGGACGAAACTATATATGTGAGCTATATCTAAATCTGAACCGATTTTCCCCAATTTCAATAGGGTTCGTCCTTGGGCCAAATAAGTGACCTGTGCCAAATTTCATTCAAATCAGATAATAAATGCGACCTGTACTTTGTTCACAAAAATACATTGACGGGTGGACAGACGGACGGGCGGACGGAAATGCATAAATCGACTCAAAAAGTAATTCTATGCATATTTTCAGAAGGAACCGTGGGTCTATTTCGAATCCTTTTACCTGTTACAAACATATGCACAAAGACATAATACCCTGTATCACAGTGTGGTGAAGGGTATAAAAAGGGTTTGAAAATTCTGAAATAATAGAATTGAGCCTTAACTTTTGGGAATCAGCTTCGAAATCATTATTAAAAAAAATATTGAAGTGATTGCCACTGCGCCAAAATTGTTTCAATAACTTCTTGACGTGAAAGCCACCGAGTGGGTGAGTATATAAAAACAACAGAAATATCTGTACCGAAATATTCCTGAAACAATGAAAAATCATCTCTCTCATAGAACTGTTACAAAAATAGTAATTAATATCTTTACTGAATTTATCATTCTGATCGGAAATACTGAATTTGCATAGGACAACACTACGGTTAAACTATGGCAAATTCATCCATTCGTAACGACAGCGGGGGATGGCGATCCATTTCTAATAATACTTTTAACTGAGAATAGTTTGATATAATTTAGAAATAGTGCTAAATATGTCATTGGGGTGCTATTGTATTTATACCCTTCACCACACTGTGGTACAGGGTATTATGTCTTTGTGCATATGTTTGTAACAGGCAAAAATAATCGAGATAGACCCATGGTTCCTTTTGAGAATATGCTTAGAATCACTTTCTGAGTCGATTTATGCATGTCCGTCCGTCCGTCCGTCTGTCCGTCTGTAGATGTAAAATTGTAAACAAAGTACAGGTCGCATTTATGATCCGAATTGGATGAAATTTTGCACAGCTCATTTGTTTGGCCCAAGGACGAACCCTATTGAAATTGGGAAAAATCGGTTCAGATTTAGATATAGCTCCCATATATATTTTCGTCCGATTTAATGTAAACGGTCCCTATATATCTTTCGATTTGCACGAAAATTGGCACAGCGTAATGAATTAGGTCTAGAATGATGTGTGTAAAATTTCATAAAAATCGGTTCAGATTTAGATATAGCTCCCATATATATCTTCGTCCAATTTAAGGTAAATTGTGTACCAAAGTCAATATATATCTTTCGATTTGCACGAAATTTGGCACAGCGTAATGAATAAGGTCTAGACTGATGTATGCCAAGTTTCGTGAAAATCGGTTCAGATTTAGATATAGCTCCCATATATATCTTCGTCCGATTTAAGGTAAATGGTGTACCAAAGTCCCTATATACCTTTCGATTTGCACGAAAATTGGCACAGCGTAATGAATTAGGTCTAGAATGATGTGCGTAAAATTTCATAAAAATCGGTTCAGATTTAGATATAGCTCCCATATATATCTTCGTCCGATTTAAGATAAATTGTGTACCAAAGCCCTTATATATCTTTCGATTTGCACGAAATTTGGCACAGCGTAATGAATAAGGTCTAGAATGGTGTATGCCAAGTTTCGTGAAAATCGGTTCTGATTTAGATATAGCTCCCATATATATCTTCGTCCTATTTAAGGTAAATTGTATACCAAAGTCCCTATATATCTTTCGATTTGCACGAAATTTGGCATAGCGTAATGAATAAGGTCTAGAATGATGTATGCTAAGTTTCGTGAAAATCGGTTCAGATTCAGATATAGCTTCCATATATATTTTCGTCCGATTTAAGGTAAATTGTGTACAAAAGTCCCTATATATCTTTCCATTTGCACGAAATTTGGCATAGCATACTAAATTAAGTTTATATGTGCAAAGTTTCGTGGCAATCAGTACAAATTTAGATTTAGCTCCCATATATAGCTTCGCCCGATTTTAGGTAAATAGTCCACAAAAGTCCTTGGAAATCTTTTGGTATAGCGTACTGAATTAAGTCTAGAATGATGATTTAAGGTAATTGGTGTACCAAAGACCCTATATATCTTTCGATTGTAGGTAATTGGTGCACCAAAGTCCCTGGAAATCTTTTCATTTGCACGAATTTTGGCATAGCGTACTGAATTAAGTCTAGAATGATATTGCAAAGTTTCGTGAAAATCGGTTCAGATTTAGATATAGCTCCCATATATATTTTCGTCCGATTTTATGTAATTGGTGCACCAAAGTCCCTATATATCTTTCGATTTGCACGAATTTTAAGAGAGACATTTGGGTTTGAAAGGTTTTTTGTATAGAAGCAATAGCTTCTGGGGAGAATATCCCAACAAAAAACTAAGGTAACTGATGAGGATCAGTGGCGTGATCCGAAACTATAGTCTTCCCTGCCTTACCCCTCGGCAATCAATGCCATACATTCCTCACTAATAAATAGTTCTTTTTTATAAAAACAAAATGCAAATGGTATCCCAAATAAACCGCCAACACTACTGCTACTGCTAAGCTGGATACATATGTAGAATATACCCAAAGTGGTGAAGGGTATCATATAGTCGGCCCAGCCCGACTTTACTACTTTCCTTACTGGTTTTGACTTCCAAATAGTGCTAAAATTAGTACAATTGTGCCAACTTTTGCATCCCTGCCCTTCAGCACACTGTGGTACAGGGTATTATGTCTTTGTGCATATGTTTGTAACAGGCAAAAGGAAACGAGATAGACCCATCGTTCCTTTTGAGAATATGCATAGAGTCACTTTCTGAGTCGATGCTTGCATGTCCGTCTGTCTGTCCATGTTAAATTGTAAACAAAGTACAGGTCGCATTTATCATTCGATTTGGCTTATATTTAATCTGAAAAAAGTCATCTCTCTCTATCTGTCTCCAACTTACCTTATCTGCTGTACCGCGATGCGTTGTATTGCCCTGCCAAAAACGACGATTATAGCCTCTTATATAACCGGTTATGCATTTGTCATATTCAAAACCGGGATACCAGCACAACGACCCATAACCGAATACCCAACAGGTAGGTTGACTGCGATAATTTTGATTTTCACGATCATCATCGTCGGTGTCCGCGAAGTCACCATTCAAAAACAGATTTTCAAAATGTTGCGGTAAATTGTTGTAGAATTCGGCCATGGCGGCAGAGGGTGGTGGCGCGGGTAGATGTTGTTGCATATTATTGTTGTTGGCCATGGTGTTAACGAGGTTAGGATAAATATAAATAAATGGCGGGTTGAAAAAACACGAAAGTCCTTTCCGTAAAAAAATGTTAGCTAAGTTCGAATAACACTTCAAATGAGATCTTTGAGTTCCGATAGATTGTGTTTAGCACTCTTTGGCCTTGTGGAGGTATAACACGGGAAGATACTGTTTTAAATTTTGGGAGATTCCGTATTTTTGTTAATTTTTCCGAATATTTTTTTGTTGCCTTCTGGTGTTGTCGTTGGTTGTGCTGCTGCTTCTGTAGTTTAGCGGGTGTAGACATCGATGATATTTTTTGCCAAATGTCGCTACAAATTTATAAATTTCAACTCGATCCTTGGGCCTGGGACACTTTATGCACCATTTTCAACATTTTGCAATGGCGTTTTTATTCAAAACATTATTTTTTTCTTTTTTAGATAATTTACGGATTTTTTGTGTTATTTTTTATTCTGCTATAAATTCATTGCGGATTTTGTTGATTTATTCGTTTTCATTTCATGGATTGATTTGTTGTTCACTTTGAAAATTTTTGGATTTGAGTGTAATTTTTCTCACGATCTGCAAATAAATTTAATTTAATAATTTTTTAATGTTCATTATTATTTTTTGAAAATTAATTAATTTTATAGAGCACACTTTGTTCCATTTATTTTTGTTTTTTTTTATTTCCATTAAGTTTTTTGAGATTTTTTTTGCCGACCGTATTTTGCGGAAAATAGTTCCGTTCCCGGCATCTGATCACAGGGAACTGATATGAACAGACGACCACAGGCCTTTGCTCCGCATTCATCATCGAAGTAAACAGAACAACATCGTCGTTTTGTTTTGCAGTTTCGTTTTTCGTTATTGTTTTGTTTTTGTTTGTCGTTGTCTTTGCCTCTTCTTCATCTTTTGTGTGTGTCTGTTTACGTCGTCACTTTCTGTTTTTGTTTTTATTTTTAAGTGTTTTTGAAATATTTTTATTGATTTAATACGTGTGTTGTTTTTTTTAACAAACTAGTCGCAGACTATCGCTCGCAGTTTTTTGTCTTAGCCCTACACCCGAATGGATCGGCCGATTTGATTTATCAAGGGATGTGACACTTCTAAATTAAAAAAATGTATATGAAAAAAAAATATTTGTTAATAAATCCACGCCTTATATAGACCTTGAAAGAACTCATATTTTCTAAATATTCAGGATCTATTTTGTCTATAGAAAAATGCATGGTCTTATGATACATTTTGTCTGCAGAAAAAACCCGAAGCTTCAGCACACATTTTTTCTACAGAAAAAAACCTTCTTGCCTCTGGCGGATTCAAAATTTAAAATTGTTAATAGAAATTGGGTGCAATATTTCAATTTTTCGAAAGCGTAAAATCATGAAAATGTGCCTCATCGAAATTTTGGTTTAAGACCCCATGTTTCATTGGAGCAAATCCATTTCAGAAAATTTGGAGTCGATTTCCACATGTCCGTCCGTTTTCCGTCTGTCTGGCTGGTGCGCACTATAACTCTCGAAGGGAATAATCGATTTCATCCAAACTTTGCACATCTTAATATTTCTTCCAAACATAGTTTAAGTTTGAGGGTGGGGAATATCGGTCCACTCCTCCTGGCATATGGTCCATATTGTGCTAAAAATTAATTTTATAATAATATCCAAACGGACTATCCGATTTTAACGAATCTTTGTAAAACCTATCATCTTTACCAAGCCTAGATGAAGTTGGAAGATGGGGCCCATTGGTCCACTCTTCCTGGTACCTCCCCCACAGAGGGTCAAAATTTTCGATATTTATAGATGCAATATCAGGCGAATGGAATATCAGGTTTGAGCCAAACTTTGCACAACCTATTATTTTTTACCAAGTATAGATCATGTAGGAAGATGGAACCCATTGGTCTACTACTTCTGGTACCTCCCACACAAATGGTCAAAATTTTCAATATTTGAAAATCCAATATGAGGCGAATGGAATGTCCGATATGAACCAAACATTGCACAACCTATTACCTTTAACAAGTCTAGCTCAAATTTGAAGATGGGACTTATTGGTCCACTCCTTTTCGTTCCTCCCCCTCTAATTGTCAACATTTTCAATATTTATAAATGCGAATGGAATGTAAGATTTTAACCATACTTTCCACAACCTATTATCTTTACCAACCCTATATCAAGTGCGAAGATTGGACCCAGTAGTCCACTCCTTCTGGTACCTCCCTCACAAATGGTCAATATTTTATAAACTTTGATCAACATTAAATCCGAAACCTCTTTGTGTAATTCCGAAGACCTTCGCAAACCATAGGCTTGGGGCATATATCTGTCGACAACACCGACTGACACTTTTTTACTTGTTTATATTCTTTCCGAGGTCTCAGGATGCATTCTATCTCCACAAAAAATATTCAAAGCCTTAACTCTGACTTTTTTCTATAGAAAAATTTCTCCTTGTCTCAGGAGGATTCAAAATTCTTAAGAGAAAAAAATGGGTGGAATATTTTAATTTTTAAGCAGGGTTTCGAAATCGTAAAGCCTTAAGTGTGGTTTTTAAGGGTCTTCGTGGTGGCGTGGAATCATAAAGTGTGCATTTTTAAGGGTCTTCTGACGATATAGAAAAAAATCTCCTGGTCTGAGGACAGGATTTTTTCTAATGAAAAACAATTTCGATGCCTCAGGATACATTAAAAAAAAAGTCAGGACCTATTTTTTGCATTTTTTCTATCAATAAAATTCTCCTGGCCTTTTTTTGTAAAGGCATTTTTTCTGGCTTCTGGACACATTTTTTTTAGAAAAAATATTCAGAAGAGATTTTTTATAAAAATTATCGAGACATCGGGAGAATTATTCTTCAACTTTTTTTTACAGTATCTTCTAAAAAAACCCTCCCGCCTTCTGGACTCATTAAAAAAAACATTCGGAACAGATTTTTTTTATAAAAAGTTTAGAGGCTTTGCGACATATTTTTGTGTATATAAAATATTTTTCTGACCTCATGGATCCATAGAAAAAACTCGCGGGCACAGAATACCATTTTTTTCCTAAAGAAAAAAAATCTACTGGATTCTCAGGACGCAATTTTTTCTGTAGCAGAAATCATCGTGACTTCAAGGCACACAGTTTTGTCCTCTAGAAAAAAAATCTCATGGCTGCTGGACACAATTTTTAATAGAAAACAGTATTCAGAAGACATTCTGAGACTTTTGGATATAGAAAACATAATATTCTGACTTCAGGATAGATTTTTCATGCCTTTTTCCCTTGCCAAACAGATAACTCTTCTAACCTCAGGGCGCATTTTTTTCTCTAGAAAAAAACTCATGCCTGCTGTTCACATTTCTTATAGAAAACCAGTAAGGAAAGTTCAAAAATCGGACGGGGCCGACTATATGATACCCTTCACCACATTGGGTACCAATCTGAAATTCATGAAAAATTTAATGTCAATCATAGAGCAAAATATGTAAAAGATCTATATCTGAATGAACACAGTGCGCTATCCATAATTTATCTCGACACAAAATCCAAAACAAAACTTGACATGCATCAATCTAAACATAATTCAGAACTCTGTGCAAATTTTTGTCTCAATCGGACAAACATCTATAGTATGGTGCACCATTTACATAAAAACGGAGGAAACTATATATGGGAGTTATATCTAAATCTGAACAGATTTCAACAAAACTTCGCATACATAAATTTGAACCTACTTCAGTACGCTGTGCAAAAATTTGTGCCAATCGGCCTAAATTTGACTCTTTGGTGTTCCATTTACATAAAATCGAAGGAAACTATATATGGGAGCTATATCTAAATCTGAACCGATTTTCTCCAATTTCAACAGGGTTCGTCCATGGGCCAAATAAGTGACATGCGCTAAATTTCATTCAAATTGGATCATAAATGCGATCTATACTTTGTTCAAAAAAATACATGGACGGACTGACAGACGGACGGACGGAGGGACGGACATGCGTAAATCGACTCAGAAAGTAAGAAAGACATATTCAGAACACATTCTGTGATTGTGAAGAAAAGAAGGAAAACAATGTATTCTATCCTGCAATTTTTTTGGTATTGTGTTTTCTCCCGAGCCCCCCCCCCATTTATAAATCCCGATCATATGTATTTTGAATACACACATCATGGTGAAGGGTATAAAAGAATTCGGATCGGCTCAGACTTGACAACTTTATTACATGTTCCTTGTTCATAATATAATTTACCGGTTTTTTCAGATACTATTTAACCCACTTTATATTTAATCAACAAAGCGGAAAACACCCGAACACTACAAAATGTTTTTATTAATGTCAATCATAAGCGATATTCATATTCATCGATTTACACACTATATCACCCCATGCCATGTCAGACAGACACATTCATAAATCTACCTCCCATATACGGTTTTGTTTGTCTATCTGTTATTTGAAAACCACTTAATTTAAACATGAGACTGCGACACTTATCAAATTTACAAATACCGACCATGGGTCTAACAATTTTTTTTAAAACATACGCACACACACACCATCCCAATGAAATTCATAAATTGTTGTGTGCGAGAGAGAGAGAGAGGGGTCAAATCCTAGAAAATCCGCAAAAAACTAGTCACACAAAGAAAAGCACCGAACAATTTAAATTGCCGTCATAGAATAATAATACGAGTAATAATAACAAAAAAGCCGGGTACTATGTTTATATGTCACACGAAAATGTGTGCGTGTGCGTTTTCTTGAAAATATTTTGAAACTAAAATTAGCTACTTTTTATACACTCTATACATTAGTTTGACATATGATTGGATGATTGGTTACATAACTCTACAGAGAGCCCTCAGGACACATTTTTTTTTTTTCAAAAAAGATGAAAAAAATATGCTGGCCTCAAAACAAACAATTTTTAATGTAGAAAAAATTCTTAAGGCCTTAAAACTCTTTTCCTTTTTTAGAACCTTTTTTTATAGAAAAACATTTGTCCCATATTGAAAAAATCATA